AAAAAAATGCGAGAAAAGAAAACGCATGAGGCTGATCATTCCCAGATTATGAAGCCCGGGTGATCATCAAACGTCTTGTTTTTTGGCATGACTTTTTTTGGTCTTTTCCCGTCTTTTCCAATGGGGCCGACGGGGCCTACATACCAAAATTGACCTGTGTAGCTCTCTGTTGTTATGATGCGTTCCATGGTTGTGGTTTTCCTGCTTGGCCAGTACTTCGGAACAAGGCTAACTATTCCAACTTCAAGAGTGGGATCATAGTTCCTTGTTGCTACTGTTCGTGGATTTGAAGGCCTCTTGCTGGTGTTCTTTGTACGTTTGTGATGGACTTCCTGGAAGTCATCAAAATGGGGGTTGGAGGTCCCTGTAGAGTTTAATTGTTGAGGAGAAGATCTTTTTTCAATAAAGTCGTCAATTTGGTTAAGAGTCATGTTCCCGTATCTTCCAGGGTTATTTCTTCGCATATTCTCAAGGACCTCTTTGTAGCTGGGATCATTTTCAATTTCTGGATATAAGAATTCATCTGGGGGAATTCTTCTATTGGTGGATCGAGATCTGTTGGTGGCAAGTCTTTATTTGCCAAGTGAGGTTCTGGTGTCTCTTCCACTACACTTTCTGTAGGTTCTTTTGTGTCAACATTGGTCTCCTTGTTGCTTGAAATCAAATTTTCAGCGTTGAGTTCAGTTGTAGCATTGTTTATTGTGGAGACATCATTCAAAATGTGATTTATTTGGGCCAAGGATTGTTGTGACAGTTTTTCATAGCTTGTACCATTGGGCAGTGTATTCTTAGAAAGATTGTCAGCATCGTCAATTCCTTTAGTAACAGCTTCAGTAGAAATAGCTTTGGCCTCATGAATGGCTTTGGCTCCTTCAATTTCAATGGGAGCTTCAGAATGGGTTCCTTCATTAACAACAGCTCTAGCTCCATCAATGGTTTTGGCTCCTTCAACTCCATACGAAGTTGTAGACTGTGTTCCTTCAACTTCGTCAATGAAGTCCGTTTCATTTGGAATTTCAGTAGCAAAGTTGGTGTTGGCTCCTTCATCAGTAGCTTCAATAATGTCAGTTTGGGTAGTAGTTTGGGTACCCATAACATCAGCATCTTCTGGTTCTAAGACCAACTGGGCAGTAGCCAAATGGGGCTGAATTTCAGTAGCATTGACTGCATTTTCTTTTGATGAGGCCTTAACATCTGTCCTGACCTCCCTTTGGATCCATCTTGATGAGGAGTGAGATTTTTTGCAGTTTTTGTGGCCATATTTCTTACAAGAGGTGCAGAAGGCAAGAAGGTCTTCGTAGTGAATGGGTTGTAAAAAAGAGAGCTTCCCAAGGTGAATCCACACAGAGTTTGGCAGTTCCTTGGACAAGTCCAGTTCCACACATACACGAGCTACGGATGGTCTGGTTAATTAGATAGTAGCATTGTCTGCTTTTAATGGTTTCCCAATCAAATTGGCAATGGAGTACAGAGCAGTAGAATCAAATATATGAATTGGTAGACCTTCCATTCCTATCCAGACAGGTAGTAATGGCGATTCAACAGTGGGATCAAATTCAGGAGTCCATCGAAATACATTTAAAGAATAACCATTGATCTTCCAATTCTTTCGCAGAAGACATCGCAAGAAATCATTGTATGAAACGAAATTAATCAAAATGTGTTGATCATCTAGCAAGGAGACAGTAAATGCAGCTTCATATCCAATTTTATCGAATACCTGGCGAATTGTTGCTAGATTAGGCCTACCGTTGTTGAAACGTCCCACCAAAGCTAGGTTAAATCTTGCAGCCAAACGTTTAACCTCTTCATCAGTAAAAGAAATGGATGGTGACCCTTTAAAACGAGATATCGGTTTGAAATTCCTAGAAGCTTCGATGTCACTAAAAGATATATCCATGGCGAAGAGCAGCTTGCAGCGGAGATTAGATCGGGAATCACCATTTTCGCCAGAGCAGATCTAGAGAGAAGGACGCCATTATATATATATATATATATATATATATATATATATATATATATATATATATATATATATATATATATATATATATATATATATATATATTTGTGTGTGTGTACAATAGAAAAAAAGAGAAGAGGAGTCAAGGCCACGTATTGATGAATCTCATCACACAAAGCACCAAACCTTTGAATCATGAAGGTCCACTCTTATTAATATTCAATAAGGATACATTGCCAATAAGAGCCTCAAATGGTGTGTTCATACAATAAAGGATGATAAGAGTACTTCAACCAATCCATCTACTCGGCATTATTTTACAAAGCTAGAGTGGAATTTTAACACTATATAAACCCCCACATCCAAAAGTTCAATATGCAGAATTTCCACAAGTCTTTACTTCTTACAAAACACCCTCCTAAATAATTAAAAAAAGAACTCCACTCTCTGCCCGTACTTTTTACAAAAACCTGATAAAGAACCATTATAACCAAGCCAAAGCCTTACACAATACCTGCTGCCAAAGAAGGGAGACTACATTAAGGTGAGTGTGAATAATACTTTATACCTCTAAATTGTTTATGATAGTCTATTATATTCCTACTATGTTTTTTTATATACATATAAGTGAATAGAAAAAAATACCACTCAGTTTAGGGGTTCCAATTTATAAACTTATTTTTGGCATTAAAAAGTTGTTTAAAAGAAATTGGCAACTAAGAAAATCATGCCAACGGACGTTATTAACCTTGACGATTTGGTTCAAAAACAATTATGTAATTCGAGAGAGAGGCATAAGGGAACTGTTGAAAAAAAGAGAGAGAGATCAAAGAAGAGTGACGGACATGTAAATTCTACACAGGTTTCTCCATATTCCTAAGTTGAGTAAAATTTTTAAAATCTAAAGGAATAGATTGAGTATTTTTTAAAATCAAGCTTTGCTCCAACATATTTTTCAATAAAGAGGGTTTCATTAACACAGTTTGGATTAAGAACAACTAGGGTTTTCTAAACCCCTTATCAAAAAAATTAACACTAAGGACGAAGAAAAAATCTTCAAAATTGTCATAAATCCATTTTCTATGATACCTAAAATTGAAAGATATAACAATTGGGGATCTTGACGGAAGTGGTCAAGAATTTAAATAAATTTAGCACAAAGGAATGAAATTGGGAATAAAGTTTTTAATCATACCTTCCCAAACTCAGCATCTCCGGCACTCCCCTTCATCGCTGCAACGTAGTCTCTGCCTTTGTTTTCTTGAAATCGATGAATGACGGGGCCAACACACACGAGCGAGGAAGATGTTCGACTGGGACGAACCTCTTTCTCTCTCTCTCTCTCTCTCTCTCTCTCTCTCTCTCTCTCTCTCTTTCCGATGTAAATGAACAAACCAAAGGAGATTTTAGTTGGGCCCTATAGGAAAATGGCTTTATAGCCATCGGTGGATAAATCTCGACCGTAGATTTATTTTATAATGCATCCCTAAGTGGACACATAATAATAATAGGTCTGGGTGCCGGTCGCTATTATTGGGAACGGATAGGAAGGATCTTATACGATTGCTTCCTAGCCCAAAAGTAAGAGGAGATACTTTTGAGTACCTCCCAGGTGTTAGGGCTTAGCACCACCACTAAGACTCACACGCCCTAACACCGAGGCTTCTGGGGTAGGGTTAGACTTTGGCCATAAAATACCATGATATCATCCTTAAAAAAACGACTAATCCTGCGAGATTTCCTCTTAACAGTATTAATATTTTCACTTTGAGGTGAGATTGAAAAGTGGTATTAGATAGACACTTCAGCGGGTGCTTCAGGATAACCTGATCAGTTAGATCGAGCACAAAAGAGGGGTTCCCCAAGGGTAGAAAAGAATATGTTTCAAATAAAAGGAACGATTGACAATGTGATTGATTTGTCATGAACAAATTATTGGGATATCGTATTTCTCTGCTCAGAAGTACACGATGTGGCATTGTACTGACCCCTCCTCATAACTGTTTTAGGTGCGTAGCCGTTCTCGTGCTGAAATTCCTCGTGAACCAGTTTCCATTATTGCTAGCAAGACCTCAGTGTGGTTTGTGGACATGTCTCTTTGAAGTTCTTATTATGCTCGTGTTATTTTTCTTAAATTACTCCAATCAAGTTGTATTTCCTAAATTTGTCCTACGTGGCTGGCACGTTGTAATTCCGCTTAAACTCTGATCTTATCTTGTTTAGTAAAGTGATTATGTTTTGCTTGATGTGATACATGTATACTGTTAGCCTACAACATCATTCATCACATCCATCATACTGAAACAGCGGCCTAACTCTGGGTATTGACACCCATGTTTACCGTAATGCACCACACATAGTCTCGGAATCGATCCTTGACACAAACATCAAATTCAGACTGGTTCAGGTACCTCATGGTACCCTTGGCGGTAGGGGCTACCGACCCCACGGTACCAGGGTGGGTACCGACCATGTCAGCTGGAGTACCCCACTGGTAGGCTGTCACGGTAGCATCTACCGACCCGGCGGTAGGGCCTACCGCCCACCCAGTACCTAGGTACCGTTTGGTGATAGGTACCAGCAGAGAGAGGTGAAAATAGGGAAGCTGGCAATAGCCAGGTACCGTGTCAACGGTACCTACCTATCGTCTGTCGCGGCGAACACCAGATTTGCACCAGCTCCATTTTAACCCATTAAACAACATCATTTACATAAAATACAAGCCTAAACAGGTTCTAAATCATCAATCACACATTATCTCACCATCCTTTAACAATTCCAAATCAATTCGTACTTTTCAAACCGTAAACGACATAAAAAAGGCATAATTCACGTATAGTCCAAATAGATCAACTGTAACGATTCTACGAACGTAAGATTCAAACCTATGACTATAACCATACGTTAGATGTCCACGTACTCACCTCGAATTCAACGATTAAAGGTTACCGGGTAGTGTTAGCGGTGTAGACAACGGATTCCCCTTCTTTCCTTCTTTTCTTCTTCTTCTTCGTCTTCCTCTTCTTGCGCTGCTGCTGATCGAGAGAGACGAGAGAGAGAGTGGGGAGGGAGTTACGTAATATTATGGGAGGCGTAGGGCTTTAGGCGTGTAAAGCCTGTATTTATACTTTTGGGGTTTTGGGCTCGATATTAATTGAACGTACCTGGCCCAAGCGCACTTTCCAGGCCCACGAGCTCCAAATCCAAATCTGATTTCCCTGTTAGATTCGATCCGTCAAACCCTACACAACGGTATAAACCTTATTGTCAAACAAAGAATATTTATAATTTCCACCGAGTCCATCTCAGTAATTAATTAATTATTTTTAATTAATTAATCCTGATAGGCCGGTTTTCGGGGCGTTACAGAATGAGACATAAAGTAGCCTTATACTTTAAAAGTAGAGATAGCTTTAACAAATGGCAACACGCGCAGACCTACACGACTAAAATCATAGGTTGCATTTGTAGCTTGAAAACTGAATGAATAAGCACATTAACATGTAGCCCAATTTTAGTGACTCAGTCCAAAAATTTGGGTGGGAACACTGTTCATAACAGCCTCACACCTTTGTATATTATAAGATTAGTGCCCAAAAGACCGACACTTGCCTTTGGGTTGAGTACGAGATTGAAAGGGGGATCGGTGAGAGTCAGAATGTGGAGTATGAATTAGGTTATTATTATTATTATTATTATTATTATTATTATTTTCTGAATATCATATTACACAAGGATTGCTTGAGGGGTCTTAACCTCATTACAATGATTTTAGATTTATCTTATTGTTTCCCTTTTCTCTCTGTAGAATGGGATCCCTTACACAGTTCCCTCTGTTGCCCATGTATAGGAAGAGCGATTGTAGCCAAACAAATGGTAAAGTGTGACAGATGAACGGTGGCCACTACCATGTGCCATACCCATCGCCGATGAGAGTGTGTGTCGGATATCTTCTTCGCATTAAATATGTTGTACGACTGCCGTGATGGGTAATTGGGCCCGAAGTGACTAGCCCGAGACAGAATGGTTCTTGGTCTGTCCATGAGCCTACTTCTAGATCAACATTTTGGTGTCCAAGTGTCCCTCAATTATATCTCGATCCCTGACTAACATTCAGAATTTTATAAGATATGGAGTATTTTATTTATTTATGTTTACATCAAATCTTTGATTGATTCGACTTTATGACGACTTTACAACAATAGTAGACTGATGACTTACTACTACAACCTGCACAAGCATACACTCTCAAGTTGAAAGCAAGAAAACTTGAGGTATGAATCTGTTTTGATCTTATCGTTCAATTTTGGACACCTCTTTGATGGTCATTTATTACATAAGAAGTCAATTTCACAACTATCTTTGTGATTTCGGGAAATCGAGTTGGGAATAAAACTTACATACCCCGGATGAATTCGGTAGCATCTGATACACGACTATCCCTGAAGTTCTAGAGAGGGCAATTCAACAGTCTTATATTTTGCAATGACTATCAACAAACTTCAAGGTCAAACATTGTCATTTATTGAACTATTTTTAACTAAGTCATTGTTCACTCATTATAAGATTTATGTTGCTATTTCACGAGTGAAGACAAACAAAAGATTAAAAACATTGGTTCTAAATGACAATGGAAATCATTGTAATCATACTGGAAATATTGTATGCACTGAAATCTTTCAGAAAGTTTGGTAATAAAACAAACTTTGTTGAGTACACATTCAAATCCTTGAATAGTATTTATTCTACTTTAGCTTTTTGTCTATATTATTAAAAACCATGTGAGAAATATATTTTCTTTACTCTATAAAAAATATTACATTATTTTTTTTGAATCACTAAAATTTTGTTTGACCCCGTGCGTGACACGAGTAAAAATACTAGTCTATCATAAAAAGTTTATGGTATGTTTGGTCGGAGGTAGGTAAAAGTTTTATTAGGTAGGTAATGGTAGGTAACTGAATGTAGGTAATTGAAGATAGGGAAAGTAAGATAATGAGTTAAAAATTGTGTTTGGATGTTTATTAGGTAACATGAGGTAAGGAAAGAATAAAAGAGTTAAGTGCACCGTTTACCCCCGAATTCTTTGAAAATTGCATGGTTTACCCCCGAACATTAAAAAGTGCACCAAATACCCCCGAACATTAAAAAGTGCACCAAATACCCCTGAATTCTTCAAAAATTGCACGGTTTACCCCTGAACAATAAAAATCGCACCAAATACCCCTAAACTCTTCGAAGATTGTACTGTTTACTCCTAAACATTTAAATAAAGACGACAATTTTGGATAAATTCACAAGGGTCAGATGAATGATATTCGCAATTCTTGTGCGTGGAAGCAACGCACTCCTTATCTAATAGTAGTTTAGGACTAACGATGCAACGTTTTAATTTGTTCAAGGGTATTTGGTGCATTTTTTAGTCTGCAGGGGTAAATCGTGCAATTTTCGAAGAGTTCAAGGGTAATCGGTGCACTTTTTAAAGTTCAGGGATAAAACATGCAATTTCTAAAGAGTACGGGGTAAATGGTGCACTTAACTCAAGAATAAAATTACTAAAATATCCTTAGGGTTGTTTTTCTTTATTTGTTTAGGATGTATTTATATGAAATTACCTTTCACATTATATTCTTACTAGCTTTTACCACGTCCTTTGCACATGCTTTTATTTTCGTACATAAAATATGTAACAAAACAGAGTACTCAAAATTGCACAATTGTAGAAAAAAACAAGAAAAACCAAAAAAAATAGAAAAAAACCACAATAAAAAAAGAGAAGAAACGAAAACAGAAAAAAATTGAGATGAACTGCATAGATGGAAACTGGAAAAAAAAGTGAAAATTGAAGTAATGATAAAAAAGTAAGGTAGCAGCAATTATGTGATGCCGGATTAGGTGATGCAAAGTAAAACTGAAAAAAACTAAGCAACGCTGAAATTACATCTGCAGGGCCGAAAATTAGATCGGCAGGGAATTAGATCGGCTAAGCAAGGTTGAAAATTAGGTAGGCATGGCCGAAAACTAAGCAAGGTCGAAAATTATATCAGCCAAAACTGAGCAGGGTCGAAAATACCTGGAGATGGCAATCGGAACAGTGAAGATGACGATGCGGGTGAAGATGGTTTCCCTGTTCTGCGAACGACGGATGAAGATAGCGATCAGTTTACCTTGACTCGCCCATTTCGCTATATAAAAAATAATCAATTTGAACAAGCTGTCAGAAAACGAAATGTCACAATATTTTTTTGGTACACAACAAAGTGATGGAAAACAAATATTTAGTCAAATTGGGGTAAATTTCACAAATGTTACCTGAACTTTAGCTGAAATTTCGAAGTGGTACCTGAACTTCAAATTATTTCACAAAAATCCCTGAACTTACACAATCCTTTCACTAATGAGCCATTAGCCCGTTTCTAGGTTAACTTCCGGTCATTAGGGTCAAATTCGAATTTTATATATTTTAAAATTTTCAATTTGACCCCATTTCTTCTTTTCTTTTCTTCCACGCCCCGCCGCCGCCCGCCGGTCAAAGTCGCCGGAAAATGAACTTTTTCCGATTCCGGCGGGACCAATGTCATTCTCTTCGTCTTGAGACGAGGATCAATAATATCCAAACCATTTTGTCTAATTTGGCCTGTAACTTCTCGAATCTGAATTTTTCTACTCGAANTAAAATTTTCAATTTGACCCCATTTCTTCTTTTCTTTTCTTCCACGCCCCGCCGCCGCCCGCCGGTCAAAGTCGCCGGAAAATGAACTTTTTCCGATTCCGGCGGGACCAATGTCATTCTCTTCGTCTTGAGACGAGGATCAATAATATCCAAACCATTTTGTCTAATTTGGCCTGTAACTTCTCGAATCTGAATTTTTCTACTCGAAAAAACCCTAAAATTCAAAATTGGGTCCAAAATTGGGGGTTTTGCAAATCTTCATCAAATCTTGCAATTGAGGGGTCCTTGAGGGTCACCCGGATGCCACGACCGCATTGGAGTTGGTGCCCGCCGTCAATTTCGCCGGAGTTGGCCGGAAAACGCTCCGACGGGTCGTTTTTTAGGGTTTTTTCAAGTAGAAAAATTCAGATTCGAGAAGTTACAGGACAAATTAGACAAAATGATTTGGATATTATTGATCCTCGTCTCAAAACGAAGAGAATGACATTGGTCCCGCCGGAATCGGAAAAAGTTCATTTTCCGGCGACTTTGACCGGCGGGCGGCGGCGGCGGGGCGTGGAAGAAAAGAAAAGAAGAAATGGGGTCAAATTGAAAATTTTAAAATATATAGAATTCGAACTTGGCTCTAATGACCGGAAGTTAACCTAGAAACGGGCTAATGGCTCATTAGTGAAAGGATTGTGTAAGTTCAGGGAATTTTGTAAAAGGATTTGAAGTTCAGGTACCACTTCGAAATTCCAGCTAAAGTTCAGGTACCATTTGTAAAATTTACCTGTCAAATTGGCAGTCACCTAGGTAACCTAACCTCACTCTACCTCCTCTACCTCTCTTGACCTATCTCAATTTTTATTATTACCAAACAAAATAGAATATTAAATCTACCTCCCTCTACCTCCAAATGAACACAGTGTTAGTTCATAGAGAAGGCTGCCTAACTTGATGGCCCTCAAGTGAGAGAGGTCGAATAACTAAAAAGTTGGGTTATTAAATGGTGCCTGCAGTCCAATTCCAAATCTCAAGCCCACCCCGTTAAAAATAAAAGGCCTGTTTATTTAAAAAAATCAATTCTCCTTCTCGCTTCGTTCACTTTCGCACCTCGGTCACTCCCTCACAGCCTGAACTGCCTCCCGCCCATAGCGCCGGTATCAGCCCTCTTGCCGCACCGCCTGCGCGCCGCTTCTTCCTCCTTGTTTCCTCCAGGCCGCCGCCTTCCAGGACTCATCTAGTCAGCGCGGCAGTACCACTGTTCCTAATCAGCGGCTCTGTGCCTCTCAGCATCTGCTCAGGTATTTCAATGTTTTGTTATAAATAGAATTTATTGGCCTACGAAATAGGTTTATTTGTGGTTTATTTTGCATATTTTAATATTATCTGCCCTATTTTGTACGGAATGAGGTTGTTTAGTTAATTGCTTTTAGATGTTTTAGCAGTTTATTTTTGTCTTTAAAAAGTAGTTTATTTTTGCCTAAAATGATATTAAAGTGGACTGTTTACTGAAATTGTTTAGTGCGAGACAAAATTGATAAAATGAAATATTTAAAATATGATAATTGAACTAAGATACTGTATAAATTATGATGTACTCAGTAAAACATATAGTTAATATTTTGTTAAAAAATTGCTGATTGTTGGATTAATGTGTTTTAGAAAAATGGAGAAATTTTTGAAACATAGTCTTTGTCATTTCACATGGTCTATTAAAAATTTTTGGGGTGCTTCCTCTGGATCCTCTACTGCTCTTTTCCCTATTTATTCAAAGGTGACCCCAGTCATTTTTTCCTAAATGTGCCACTGTACAGAGTAGTTTAGTTTTCTCTGCAGACGCAAAATGAATGGGGCTGAACGACGATTCAATACAGATGAAGTAGAAGACGAAGAAGAGGACGATGACACGAGAGGTCTTCAAGCGTGGGAGAGAACCTATGCAGATGAGAGGTCATGGGAGTCTCTACAAGAGGATGAATCAGGATTTCTGCGCCCCATTGACAATAAAACCATCTTCCATGCTCAATATCGGCGACGCCTCCGCACTGCAACCAGTGCTTGCATTCAAAAGGGCCTGATTCGCTATCTCTATATTGTAATTGATTTCTCCCGGGTATGCAAATTTTGGAAGATTTTATTTATGCACTGCATGATGTTTGATTCATTTGATTGCCAACAATCATTTTCTAGCTTTCTCCTCCTCTTAAGCTTTTTACACTGTTGTCGAGTCTCCCATTCAATCCTGGAGATCTTGGGTTTGAACTAAGTTGCACTGAGACAGGTACCGGTACAAAGTCAGAAATGTGGAAACACCAATTTTTAAAAAAATTATAAAGGATTTGGGTGTAGGGATGCTCCCAAAGTACCCAAACGAGGACGTTCGGGGACGAGAAATAGCAATTATTTGAAGAATCCTTGCAAAATATGGTTTGAACGAATGCCTGTGCTACACTCCCCCATGTGGGTGCTTCTGCATTGGGTACACAGTTGCTTAGGCAGTTTTCTATTGCATTCCATCAGTTCCCGATCTAAGTGTGAAATTCAGCATATCAAAGCTCACTGTTATACCATTTTGATTGATTGGCTAGTTTCTAGAGAAAAAAAATGAAAGTTCTATCGCTGATATTCTTTTCTCATTCAATGAGTGATATTCTAGTTACACATTTCTTGTTATGAGGTCTTTATTGATCTATCTATTCCTTCATCCCGTCTCATCTTTTTATTTTTAAAAATAAACAAATAAAACTAGAAATATAAATGAAATAAACACAGTCCAAAATGTGCTATTGGATTGATCTACTCTAATTCTATCAAGTGAATTTATGCTAGACATACATTTTGGCATGTAGGCAGCTACTGAAATGGACTTTAAACCAAGCAGAATGGTTGTAGTTGCAAAACAAGTCGAGGCTTTTATTAGAGAGTTTTTTGATCAGAATCCTCTGAGTCAGATTGGCCTGATAATGTTGAAAGATGGGGTTGCTCATTGTTTAACAGATCTTGGAGGCAGCCCGGAGGCCCACATTAAAGCTTTGATGGGTAAGTTGGAGTGCTCAGGTGATGCTTCCCTTCAGAATGGATTAGAACGCGTGCATGAACTTTTAAGTCAAATTCCATCATATGGTCATCGTGAAGTTCTAATTTTGTATTCCGCTCTAAATACTTGCGACCCTGGGGATATAATGGAAACAATTCAGAAATGCAAGAAATCCAAGATACGATGCTCTGTCATTGGCCTCTCTGCAGAAGTCTATATATGCAAGCATCTTTGCCAAGAAACTGGTGGCATGTATTATGTTGCATTGGATGAGGTGAGTTTTACTAAACTGATCACATTATTCTAGTTTTTTCGCTCTCCTAAATGAACATAACAACATATTGAGTTGTAACTAGTGCCATTACGTTAAAACAGTCATTTGTTGAAATAGAGCTGAATAATCAACAGATTCTTTTATGGCCTGTTTGGATGGATGGGTTTCAAGGGGATTGGAGTGAGTAGCCTATATCTTGAAATAATTCTAAATTATAAAAAAATGAAAGATTAACGTAGTATGTGACTGCATAACATTTTAATCACCTTTTATTTGTTTCCGAAACATTATATTTACCAAGACATAGATTACACTCTCCAAATCATCCCTCTTGAAACCCTACAAAATCCCTCAATCCAAACATACCTTTAATTATTTACTTTCTGCTAATGTAATCGAACATTTTAATACATGAATAGGCTCACATAAAAGAGTTAGTCCTGGAGCATGCTCCCCCACCTCCGGCAATAGCAGAATTTGCAGTTGCGAATTTGATCAAGATGGGGTTTCCCCAAAGAGCTGCAGAAGGTGCGATTTCCATCTGTTCTTGCCACAAGGAGACTAAAGTTGGCGGAGGCTACACTTGTCCAAGATGCAAATCACGTGTCTGTGAACTGCCAACTGAATGTTGTATTTGTGGCCTGACCCTGGTTTCTTCCCCACATTTGGCAAGGTCATACCATCACCTATTTCCAATCACTCCATTTGAGGATGTATCACCATATATTCGAAACAATTTGCAAATTACGCAAAAAAAATGTTTTGGTTGCCAGCAAAGTCTCCTAAACCCTGGTAAGCCAACCCCAGATTTTATATTTCAATTGTGTCTACTTATATGTGACTGTTTTTTTATTTTATAGTTGTTAAAACGGGAGTATCTTTAGTATTATTTCTTTTCTATCAACTTGGACTCCCCACGTCCTGCCAAAAGGTTCCACATTTTCTTTTGTTCGTCCCACAAAAAGGTTCCACTTTCTACTTTTGGAAAAGCTTTTGTAAAAAGGCAAAGCTAATTTTTGTAAAAAGTAAACCCAAATTGGTTAGCTGTGGGTTGTCAATAATGTGTAATGTTTGTACAGCTGAAATAAAGTTTGATGCCACCAAACACTGTGCTTACTTTAGTAACATTGAGGTTAGGGAGGTTCAGGATTCTTTTTCATCTTCAGATAAATGATGAGGTATCTTTGTAGGGAGGTGGATGGTTATTTCAAGTTGGTGATAATGAGGTGTCTAGTGCCTAATGTTTGAAGTCTAGGGGCATGTTTGGGAGTTCAACTAAGGAAACAGTGGCACAAGTTAAATTTCCTTTTTTAGAAATTAGTGTTTCAGCTTGATAATTTTCCATCTTTAGAAATTAGTGTTTCAACGTGATAATTTTCAAAACAAAATTATTCTCCGTATAAAACTATAAAATTGTATAGTTGAAGTGTCCTAGTTATTTATGGTTATTACCATGCTCCAATTTTCTTTTCATTCAAAAATAAAATATAACTCCTCCCTCCTACACTCCCATTCAAAATAAACTCCCAAACATACCTATAGTCTCTCTCATTAAACTGGTTTCTTTCTGCTGTAGGCAACATACCTGGCCCATGTGTTGCTTGTCCAAAATGCAAAAAACTCTTCTGCCTAGATTGTGACATCTACGTCCATGAGAGCTTGCACAACTGTCCAGGCTGTGAGAGCTTCAGGATTTCTCCGCCAGTCAGCAACAATATGCAAGAATAACAAACATGTATCAAAGCTACTTCTTAATCAAGTAAGATCCTATTGCATTTCTACCAACAGAGTTCAATATTGGAGATTTTACATGCTCAAGGTGCTTATACACCGTCCTTTTTATTCAGGGGAAAGTTACCTTGTGTTCTTGCTGAATTATCTTCCCTTTAAGTTTCATTAATGCTTTGCATAGAAGAGAAGATAAAATCAGAGGAAAGAAAATGAGAAGAGAGAAAATGAAGAGAAGAGAAAATAAAGAGAAAACTAAATTTTCTCTCTTAGACTTTGGTTGAGAGGAAGAAAATGGAGAGGAAGGATGGGAAATGAAGGAAATAAGATGGATTTTTAGTTCCATAGATAAGTTTGGATGCAAGGAAAATGAGAAGTATAGAAAAGAAAAGAGTTAAGTTAAATGACAATTTTGTCAAAGTGTAAAGTTTAAAATTGTCTAATAACAAGGGTAAAATAGGATATGCAAAAATGTTGAGCTCTCTTCTTAATTTTCGTCCACTATGAGGAGGAAAATATTTTAGTGGGCCATGATCGTTATTTTATACTCCCTCCGTCCAACAATAATGTTCATGTTCACTGTTTACTATTCACATGGTCAAACTTTATTCACTTTGCTGGCTTATTTTCTTTGCCTATTTGATATAATAATATAGTCATGTCATCTCTAGTTTTGTAGAGTTTTTAAATATATAATTTTTATTTTTTTAATTCTATACGATTTTTCATATAAAATGATTTGAAAATAACTTCTGTCAAACATCGTAACGCGCAACGGGAACATTATTGTTGGACGGTGGGAGTACTATTTAAACTTTTCTTTCCTAATTTTCCATCCTACCAAACAAGTGAAAATGTTACTTTTCCTTTCAATTTTCTTCAATTTTCTTTCCTTTCATTTTCCCTTCAAATAAATAGGGGGTTATTGCTTAGATGAGTAGAAAATGAAGAGAAAATGAGAAGAAAATAAAAGAGACATTTGCTTTGGTTGGAGAGAAGGTAATAGGAATGACAATGTAATAATGTAAAATGACTTTCTTGAAACAAGAGAGTGAAGGACTTTCAAACATTTGCAGCGTAAAGAAGTAATTTCGAATGTTTTCTCTTCACTCATACGGTTTTCTATTCCTTGATGGAGAATTTTTAGCATGGTCAATCCCCCTTTTTTCCCTCTATATTTCCTTTGTCAACCAAACAAGGGAAAATACGTTGAAATTCATGTTTTCTCTCCCTTTTTGTTTCTTTGCACTCTCTCTCTCCACCCAAACGGATAATAAGTGTTATTTGTTTTTGACTGCATATTAAAAATGGTCAAATGTTGTATCCTGTTTTCAAGTGAGCCACACTTAGCCGTTATCACATCACACCATCGTTATCATGGTGCCATTGTTCCAAGGTGAGCATAGCCTAAAGCCTAAATATTATGCATTGCATAGCCTAAATCCTTAAACACTACATAATTGTCTAAAGAAAACAAAATATGCATAAAGTACTAAAAGATGAGCTAGGCGATTGCCTGAGGTAGCGATTGAGGCGAGAAAGGCGACCGCCTTAGACGCACCTTAGGGATCTCACCTCGCCTCGCCTGGCTTCCTTGAGGCGCTGAGAGCTCGCCTGAGGCGCCATAGGTGAGAGAGGCGAGCGCCTTTAATAACTAAGAAGGTGAGGCATCAACGCATCACCAAACCTCCAGGACGCCTAGTTGAGTACCTGATCACTTAGGTGACAATTAGGCAACTAGTCATAAATGATAAATATAGTAACATTAATGCAAACATTCCATAATTAATAAACCCTCTGTCCCATGATAATGATCTAGTTTCGGATTACGATGTTTGACCAAAGTTATTTTCAATTCAATTTATATAAAGATTTGTGTAGAATTAATAAACGAAATTTATATATTTAAAAGAGTAAATTCCATAAATGGTCCCTTACAACAAGTGGTTTTACATATTTAGTCCTCAATTCTAAGATATTACATTTGTGTTCCTCAATTTTTGAAAACTATTCCATAATTAATCTTTTAGGCCAAATCAATGTTCGAAATGGTGAGGCGGAAACCCATCATATTGCGCGCAATAGAACTTCTACCGTAAAAAAACTCAACAGTGCGTATCTAGCCTCACACAATTAGTTTTCAAACAATTTGTGAGATGGCGTGCACAATTTTAACCTCAAAGTTTTTAAAAATTAAGGTTAGATTTGTCAATTACAAATAATTAAAAGTATAAATTACTTCCTAAATACCTTGCGGATGACCAAAATTACGCAATCGACTAACTCGAAACCCTTGAGTTGATTCTTCATCTTTGTCACTCTTCAACTTCGACGCTCATCTTCATCAGGTAATCTCCTTTTTTTCTTCTTTTTTGATTTTTTTTCTTTTGAATTGTGATTGAGATTGGGAGTTGGGACGTGATGGTCTACGATTTTCTGTCCAGCTGTCCGCAATGATTTATTTTTTATATAATTTATTTTTTTAAGTGTTTTTTTAGAACCCAGCATGGAATAAGCACTAGCACTAACAAGTAATTTGTTGTAATAGTTTATTTTTTTTAATTGTGAATTGCGATAGTGTATTATGTGAATATGTTAGTGTGATAGTGTATTTTTTAAATTTAATATATGTTTATATTTTTGTTTTGTTAATTGTTGTGTTTTTTCAATTCTTCAATTTCAATTCATCACTTTGAGCAATATTTTGTGTTATTCCATGTTAGACTTTGTTGTGTTTGTGATATATTACTTTGACAATATACTTTTTTAATGTTTCTGATTATTTATGTTATACATTATGTTCTATCTTTAGTTTTAAAATGTTTTGTGGATATTTTTCAGTTTAAGAATTGAGGCTTACGCCTCAAAATGCCTCAAGGCGTATGCAATACGTCATGAAAAGAAAACGCCTCGAAACTGCAATACACAATTTCGAACATTGGGCCAAATATGACCAAATATGTTTTTCCACAAAAAGTCCCCTAAGGATGATCATGGAAAAGTTTTCAAAAGTTGAGGACCGCGAATGTAATATCTAAGAATGTGAGACTAAATATAGAAAACCACCTATTATAAGAAGGGACTATTTATGAAATTTACTCTATTTAAAAACTATTTCAAAAGCTCTACAAAACAAGTGGTGACAAGACTATTTATTTTATAGTATTTGTTTGTTCTTTGGTTCTGTGTGCTTCGTGCTTTATCTTTGCTTTCTTTGCTTTATGTATGTCCCATATTCTTTTTATCTGTGCAACTTGAGCCAGTGGTCTCTTGGAAACAGCCTCTCTACTTTCGAGCAGGGGCAAGGTCTGCGTACCCAGACCCTACTCTTGTGGGATCCAACAAGGTTGTTCTTATTGTTGATCAATGAAAATAGATAAAGAAAGTGAGGTGTGAATTGTGAAGTGGAACATTATTATGGGACGTAGGGAGTACTATAAGATTTTGTTATTCATGATGTACAAGCTGCATGCTCAACACACCTAAATACTTGCAAATTCTACTGCTGGATTCAGTCCCCTTTTTTTTTAACAAAACCAATTGTGGTAAAAATTATTAAAAGTCTTATTTAATTACTTCATTGAAGAGTAAAGAAAAAGATGGAGTAACCTAGGGGTTGGGCTAAAGAGAATATCAGCTCTGAGGAGTATAGACAGGGACTACTTGGTCAAATTTAAACTGAATCTAGGGCACTAGGCACATGTCCTCAAGGTTATGAAGAAATAAAAAAACAGGAAAAGCAGAGGAGATTAAACGACAGAAGCGTGAGGTACTGAAGTGGCACACCTTTTCTATTGCTTCTCAAAAGATTGGATCAGATCCCACCCACTGCATATTTCAGGAGGTCGGATCACACGTAGATCTGGGTGTCCTACACTCTTGCCCGACAATCCCATAATAGGGTTATTGAATCTCTGCTCTCGCCTATTGCTTCAGAACTGCCGCAAAAGAACCGAGTTTTGCATCACCTGAACATCAAGTCGCTGTCTACGTCATTCCCGGTGAGTGTCTCCCAACGCCGGGACACCATGATAACTATGCATCACATTTTGATTTGTCTGAGTGTTTGGTTTGCTAAACCTAAGACTACCTAGTTGTTAGGACTACCTCCTTGAGGCTAATGTAAGATTATAGGAATGCAATATTAGCTTACGCTGTTTGGTTCATGTAATGTGATATTCCGTATTATTTATGTCCGTTAAGTTGGTAGGGTACCAATGTAATTTTACAACCAAAAAAAGCCCAAGCCCCAAGGTAATAAATAACATTGCCCCAAAATGAACTCATTTTCCTGTGTGAAGGTAATCACAAATTACATTGGTAATAAACATGAACCAAACAAAGCAATATTACTTCCCTTCTCAAAAATTAGCAAGGTTAATGTGAGAACCAAACAAACTCATATACTTTTTCTTGTGCCAAAAAAGGTTGGAAGCTAGAAATTCGGTGTGGGCTATAGGAGTATAAGCGCACTTAATGCTACCAGCATAAAAAATAGTGTGGATTTGGATTCAGGGCAAACCAGGATGGTGGGATATCAATTTTTTTTTTCAATCTTGGAAATTTGTGGAAGTTTAACTGTATTTGAATGCAATCTCAATCTACATTGTTCACCTTGAGTAAGTTGTTAGTTAAGTGCCCAATGGAATTAATTTTGTTAACATTTCATTTCAGATTTGATTCTTGTTCCTCAAGATGAATGAGATCATGAGACTGACCATGATGAACTGGGGGAGGAATGAACGTTCTATAAAGCGGCCACTGCAGTACGAAGTCTTGCATCAAGTCAATATACTTGGTGAAGACCTATTAAATCATCGTTGTACGTCTTTGCAGAGCCTTTCCTTAAAAACTTGTTCATCTCGTTTCTCATTTTTGCGGAGTTCAGTATCAATTCCATGAGTGGATGATGACTTGCTGAATTCTTGATATGCACCCAGGTGTACACTAAAAAAGGAATTCATACACGACGTAAAAAATGTAGTGACAGATTCTCCGCATAAGTTAGGCTCTGGTTTTTTAGATTCTATTCCCATTAGATTACATGTTTATTATTCAAACGGTCAAATCTTATTCACTTCATTTTCCCATAATTAGTCTTTTATAATGGGGGGGGGGGGGTGGGTTCTATATTTAGTCTTTTATTATCAAATATTATGTCCATGATTCTTCTTTTATGGGAACCTTTTTATGAATAGTCTTTTTTATTTTCATCACGCTGGTGATAGTTTGAGGGCTAAAAATTTGATTTTACATTAACCCTATGTCCAGTTACGCTTTTTGGTGCGATATCTATAGGCTATGGTTGTAGTAGATAACGATTGTGATTCACAAACTATGCATTAGGAACGACAACCAGACAAGAGATATACTAGTATTTGACTATTGTGAAACTATATTTTTAGCTTTCAAATTAACATTAACATGATAGAAGATAAAGAAATTATTTATAGAAATGTACCCAAAAAAACACCATTGGTGTAATATTTGGTAATAGAGCGCTAAATATATTAAATCTCTTGTTATAAAAGACTAATTATGTAATTACTCTAAAATAAAAATGTCATGTTACCCATTGTTTTGCAATATTTTTTATGTAGATTTTATATGTGTAAATTTTATTTTTTAGTACTCAAGTTTTCATATAAATTGTATTGAAAAAAATTTCAGTCAAATTTCTAAAATTGGATCATGTGATTTAAAATGGGACAGAGAGAAAAAATCTTAAACTTCAACTTTTTCGAACTCCTATATGTAATTTGAACTCTTTCTAACTTTTTTTAACTCCTTCCAATTTTTTTAAACTTTTATTTTCTTTGAATTTTAAGTTTTTTCAAATATCTAGTTTCTTCCAACTTCTTTAAGTTTCTTTTAACAATGGCTTAAAAAGAATACTTACGTACATTTTTCTTTTTTGAAATCAATAATTTATACTATTATTGTTGTTTTTTATTGTTAGCATTATTATTATTGTTGCTGTTTGATTGAGATATATAGTTAGATTATTTATTTCTATTTTTTCTTTCAATTAATATTGATAAAAAGTATTCTTACATTTATTCCCTTATTTTTCAATGTGGGTTATGGGCATGATAATTAAGAAACAGAAAAATTATATGATTGATATTGATTTTAAAAAGTAAAAATGTAAGAAGTGTGAGTTACACAAATTTTACTAATATGATTTCGGACAATCATATTAAAGTTTTTTCCAATTTTTTTCCAAATTTTTAAAGTTTTTTTCAATTTTTTTGAGTTTCTTTCAACTCTTCGTTTCTTCCAACTTTTTCCTGTTTCTCTAAGTCCTTTGTGTTTTTTTCCAACAACCAATGCAACTTTACTTATACATACCAAACAAAAAGAGTTTTAATATGAAAATTGATTTCAATCAATCTCACTTATGAAATCGAATTTCAATGAATATCATCCTCGCAGATCTCTCGATAATTATAAAAATAATAAGAGACAAGAATATTGAAATAAAAAATTTGAATGAAAGAACTTGCATTATTCGAACTCCTTAGAGGGTATTTATAGCTCTCTAAGCTTCCTAATCCTATTACACTACTCTTAGGAAACTTAGATAAGCCTCTCCCCAAGTAATTAATCCTCAATACATATGGCTCGAGCCCATTAAGCCCACCTCATAACCCAGAAGTGTTTAACCAACCAATTAGCTTTTGTGTTGCATTTATGTCTGGGCCCTAATATCGAATTAAATGACTGGATAAATATATTGGCTAACTACACTAATAATTATATCTTGGTCCCATATACCAGTTTACAAGCCCCTTAGTTTATTGTGTGGCATGCCCATCAAGAAATTACAATTACTTCAGGTAGTGCTTGACAACTAGCATTTCATTTCAATTCATGCATTTCAATTCCAAAATTTGAAATCCTGAATTTCAAATGACAAGGGGAGGTGCATGAATTTCAAATTAAGCTTTATTTTGAATGTAAAGAATTTGATTGAAATCCAAATTCAAAAATGTTTAAGTTTCCCAAACATGGAATTTAAGCCAAATTCGGATTTGAAATCCAAATCCATGTTCCCAAACATACTATCATATTAATTAAACACATATATCCCAACTTCTTAAAAAAATCTGTCTTCACCCTTTCTTGCAACCCAATGTGCATCTTTTCAAATGCCAGCCCTACTTTTTGACCTTTGGTCCTCTGCTTAAAGTTGTCGCCACAATAAATGCATGTGCCTTTCCACAATAAATGCATGTGCCTTAGGCTATAAATAAAAGACTCGCCCGTATTCACCCATCATGTGATAAAATTTTTCCACATTCATCTTCATTTTTTCCTTGTTTTCTTTCTTCGGTGGGAACCATCTTCCTCTCTAGGCCGAATATACAGATGGAATAAACTCGCAACAAGACCCATCTTACCCTTCCAGCTCCATATCGTGTTGAGGACGGTGCACATTGAAGTCTCATCTAAGTATTCTAGTGCAGAATGACTGCGATGTCAGACGACAAGGACAAGTCTGTGGCCTATGTCCTCGACTGACTCCCCTCATTTGCACAATTTCATATCCCCTTATGCATCCCTACACCCACACCCCGACATGCAACATGCATCTTGTAACCTGGGGGCAGCAGTGGCACGTTGCGGTCGAAGCTGCTCGTCCTGTCACTCGGTTTAGCCCTTTTCTTGGGTGATAGGCGCATCTCTCCATTATCTTGCGCAACATCAAGAGAATTTCCTAAGTATGTTAATTACTTCTCTCGAAGAACTCAAAAGTTGGTTGTTATTGAGGCCTGACGCTGCCTTAGACGTGTTAATCAAACATGTAGATGTAGCCATTGCCCATACTTCTTTTCCTTGTTGCACTTCTCATTGTACTTGTAAATTTATATATTAATGGAAATTTCCTCTTCTTTCTATAATATCTTTTTTATATAGCTTAACAAAAGGTTTAGTGAAAACAAGCTAAGGGGTCAAGGGGTCCCGAAAATCTCTTCTTGTCCTAGAGGCCTCCTTGCGTAGCAAAACTAGCAAAGGGGTCAAGGGATTCCGAGATCGCTTTTGGTCTCAAAGGCCTCCTTTCTTAGTGAATTTAGATAAGGGGTCAAGGGGTTCCAAGTTCCTTTTTAGTTCCAGAGACCTCCTTTCCTTCGTGCTTATTGTAACTAGCAAAGGGGTCAAGGGGTTCTAGGATCCTTTTTGGTTCTAAAGGTCCCTTGTCTCCTTTCTTAGTGAAATAACTAAGGAATTAAGAGGTTCCAGGTACCATTTTGGTCCGAGAGGGCTCTATGTCTCTTTGCCTAGTTGAACTAGCTAAAGGGTCAAGGGGTTCCAAGATCCTTTTTTATCCCAAGGCCTCTTTGCCTCCCTACTTAGTGAAACTAGCAAAGGGGTCAAAGGGTTCTGGGATCATTTCTTGTCTGAATGCCTCCTTGCTTAGTTATCTAGCTAAGAGCCAAGGGGTTCCGGGATGCCTTCTCGCCCTGGAGGCCTCCTTACCTCTTTGTTGACCCAGGCTAGACGTTTTGGTCCCTAAAGGGTCCGCTCTAACTTTATCATTTTGTACTTCCTAATTTGTTCATTCTCTGCTTCGATCTCATCGTGCTTATGGAAATACGCAATCTGTTCTGCATTGAAGTCCTCTCAATTTAGGGATGACTCGTGAGTTCACAACTCCTTCTAGACAACCAACAGATTGTTTGGGATTGGGGTGGTTGATGAACCAAGCATTCGACCTAGTTTGTCTAGAACGCGGATTAACAATAATGTTATTGTTGGCCATGTGTGCAGCAATTGTCCCGTGGCGGAGGCTATGTGGGCCAAGTCACAATCGAATGTCGTGGGCGCTTGTGTGTTGAATGCACTATAAGGCTAGGGTATGCGCCTCTTCTAACACCAATTGGTTTTAGAAGAGTTGGTAGCGCCTGAGGTCCTACAAGTGGTATCGGAGCCAAGGTCACGAGTTCGATTCCCAGCGAGAGCAATTGCTGAGGGGGAGATTGTTGGCCATGTGTGCAGCAATTGTCCCGTGGCGGAGGCTATGTGGGCCAAGTGACAATCGAATGTCGTGGGCGCTTGTGTGTTGAATGCACTATAATGCTAGGGTATGCGCCTCTTCTAACACCAATTGGTTTTAGAAGAGTTGGTAGTGCCTGAGGTCCTACAGTTATGTTGTTCATGGTTACCTCCATCAGATCTGGGTGGACTACTTGTTCCTTGCCCCACGTAGATGGAGGCAAAACTGAGACGTCGTTGTGGGAACTAGTACTGTTTCATGTCTTTCTTGATTCCATGCTCAAGAACACGTTTGAATATTCTCATTCGTCTCTCAATGAAAGCACCAATGATGGAATTTAATTCCACTGAATATTGTTCTCGTAGATCTCTCGATAATTATGAAAATAATAAGAGACAAGAATATTGAACTCAAGAATTGGAATGAAAGAACTTGCATTATTCAAACTCCTTAAGAGTATTTAATTTATAGCCATCTAGAGTTCTTAATTCTATTACACTTCTCTTAGAAAACTTAGGTAAACTTCTCCCCAAGTAATTAACTCTAGATACATTCGGCTCCAACCCATTAAGCCCAACTCACGGCCTGGACGAATTTAACCCACCAATCAACTCTCGAGTTACCTTTAGGTCTAACCCTAATATCAAGTTGGATGACTGGATAAATATATTTGGCTAATTACATTAATGATTACACTTTGACCCAATATATTCATCACCCACCTTTTAACTCTATTCTCAGAACAATTTCACTTGATGCTTAGTAAATTGATTTTAGAAACGCATTTTTTTGTAAATGTTATTTTTTCATGTTTTGTTCATCTCGCAAACTCATACTCTGTGTTGTTTTATGTTGGTGAGAATACTTCCTTTGGAGGTCACCCCATTAATATTATCTTCATCGACCATTCAGTTATACGCACCCGAGTATAGCAGAAGTTTCGGTTGATCTCAGAGGCTAAATCTAGGGTTGGAAAAAGGTATACGAAGACTTGTTCAAAGTGATTCATGAAAGATTGTT